GTGGCCGGGGGCCGCCATGGCGCGCGGCGACCAGGAGCACGAAGGCGCGGGCGCGCAGCTGGCGGTCCGCACTGAGCATGCGCGAGACGGCCGCGCCCCGCCCCTCCCTCCCTTCAGGCTCCGCGGCTCGGCCACTCGGGAGGGCGAGAGGGGAAGGGGGCGGGGACCTTGGACCGCTGGGCGTGGCTTCCTCGGCCACGCCCCCGCCTCGCTTTGGCGCGGAGCCCTTTAGCCCTCCCAGGCAGCTGTCACGGGAACGACCCTGAAGCCCTTAGCTTTCTGGGAGGTGTCTTAGCGTGGCCCCTGGGCTTACCTGGCAGCGGAGGTCGGGGCAGTGTCCCAGCCAGTCACTCTCGGGGGGACCTGAGTGCCCCTGCGCTTGTAATCTCCGCACTGCAGCCACGCCCAGGCTGGGCACAGCGCGGTCTCCTTAGAGTGACATTCGGTCCGCCCCTGTGGTCTGCGCGGGACCGTCCCCTCCCGGTTCAGCAGCCTGGTGACCCCTCTCCGATGGCGGGACCCTAACACCGTGGGACCCGAGATCTCTGGAGTACTGAGAGTCCAGATCCCTGAGATGGATCCAGGACCCAGCTGCCCACGGGACACTCAGACTGCAGAAGCCTGCGAGGGGACCGAGACCTCAGACCCTGTGGGAACCCCAAGACTCCAGAATTCTGTGGGGGGTCCCGACAGCCCAGATCTTGTGGGAACCCTGAAATCCCAGGTCCTGGGGGAGGGGAGCTGAAACCTTAGAACAGTGGGGATTCTGAGACTCCACATTCTGCAGGAGAGCCCAAGACCTCAGACACCACTGAAGCACCCTGAGACCTCTCCCTTTACAGGGGTACTTGAAGACCTCTGACCCCTGACAGGCAAGCTGACATCTCTGGTCCAGTGGGGACACCTCAGGTCCCGACATGGTGCCCTGAGACCGTTGGTCACAGGAAAGGACTCGAGACCCCAGGTCCATGCAGCCACCAGGACACTGATCCCAGTGGGGACCCGGTGGAGCGCTCCAGGTAGGTGCAGTGGGGATCCCTGAAGGCTGGGGTCCAGGTCCTCCGATCTTCCAGACCTGGAGTCCCGCCTCCCAAGAGCACAGGGGGCAGCTCTACCCCGCCTCCCCGCTTGGCTGACAGGAGGAGGCTGGTCACCCGGAGCTGGCCAGGCCCTGACACTTGGACCGGGAAGGGCTTGCATGTGCTGTGTTGAATCTCCCTAAAACACAAGCCATAAACACACCGTTTATTAAAAAATGAACCCAAATGGGTAAAAAACTTTACCGAGGAGTTCAATGCCATGCTTGCTCCAGTGAAAACTTTCCCAAGCTGAATGAACGAGGGCCTTCAAGTGGCTCCCCTTGCAACCTGGTGCCCCTGAGCACAGGCACCCTTTTGGAGCACGACTGGGCCTTGCTGGAAGTTTGAACTGGCCACTCTCAAGCTAGGAGACCTTGTGCAGGTACTGCAGCCCCAAGGTTCCTTTTCCTGCGGCAGGAACTCTGGTGCCCTCTGTCCCATTTCGATGGGCCTTGGGAACTTATCTTGCCTCAACCTTTGTTTCTGTCAAAGGACAACATCAGGACAGGTTTGGTTACAGCCTGAGGTAGCTTCCAAGCTACACAGTAGAGCAGTTCTGTCCCTGGCAGAAACAGGAGAGGGTGTAGGCAAGGACAGGACAGTGGTAGGCAAGGGCCGGTAACACCAGTCACCCTGTTGTGAGAGCCAATGCAGAGGGACTTCCTTACCCATCTGGTTTAAGTAGAATGGATGCTGATGTTTTTAGGAAAAATGAATCTGGTTTGGAATCGGCTTGCATCTTTAACCCTTGAGGTAGACACTGTGGCATTGAGCATAAGTGGCTCCGTTTTGGTTTGGTCTCTCTACTGGGCCCAGGGAGCTCAGCCCAAAACACTGGCCTTCCATAACTTCTGCTTAACAATTTTCCTCCTTTGGCCACATTCTCACCTCAAATTTAACCTACACTGAGTGACGTCATGTTGGTTTTCAGGCCTTAACACCTCATTCTTGGGAGAGATAAGTTTCTGCAACAAGCTGTGGACATTCTGAGTGACGCTTGGGAAAGTCACATAGACAAGGACGGATGCTGACGGCAGGTTAGCATCAGGGGGACAGAACCCATGGAGAGCACAGGTGTGAAAAGATGCTTTTAGTCAACTGAGGCCTTCCCCTGAGAGGAGCGGGTAGGACAGAAGGCACAGGCAAACATGGGCACGTTAACATTGTGCAAACAGGCAAAGGAGTTATGGGAATAGTTATTTTACTACTTTTGCACTTTATCATAAGTTTGACATTATTGCAAAATAGGAAGTTTTGAAAAAAATGTTCTCAGAGGGCATGGTGGTACATGTCTGTAATCCCAGCCCTCCAGGAGGCTGAGACAAGAGGATCGTAAGTTCAAACGCAGCCTGAGCAATTTAGTGAGAGACCTGTCTCAAAAAAAAAAAAAAAAAAATTAAGAATAGTGTTAGGGATGTAGCTTAGAGTGAAAGCCTCAGTTCAATCTCTAATGCTGGTAAGAATAAAAATTCTGGCAATAACATAACTAAAGGCGCTAGTTTGCTGTGATGGTTTGTGTCTAGATGTCCCCTCAAAGCTTCACCTATTCATAGGTGGGGCTTTTCAAGGGTGGCTGGATCTAGGGAGTGTGATGCTGGGATTAAGGGTGTGTGATACTAAATTAGTCCACTGATTGGTTTGGCACGGTTCTGGTGTGGATAAGGGGAAGGCCCTCCCTGGGTGTGGGTGGCACCACCCAAAGGCAGTAGCCTGGATGGATATGTAGGGACAGAGAGAAGGTAGATCTGCTGTTTCTGCTTCACTGCTTTGCTGCTTTCTGCCCACTCTGAACTTTTCTTCCTCTGCCATTCCCCACTGCCGTGCCACACTGTCTGGGAGCTAACCAGCTATAAACGGAAACCTCTATAAACTGTGAGCTACAATAAATCTTTCCTCATTTGACTTTGGGTGTTGAGTATTTTGTCTCAGCAAAGAGAAAAGTGACTAAGACAGTTGCCATTATCCAAAATAGTGCTGATGTCTCTGGGTGGAAGTTGAATCCTGTGGCTGCCATCTCACAGTGCCCAGCACAACTGTGCCCAGGAGGGTGCCCCTGCTTATGGGCATGCTCATGGCCAGTAAAGGGGCCGAGAATATGCAAGCAAGAAATCGAGTCCATCATGGCCTGTGTCAGTTTCATCTCTTAGTCTAATCAAGGCTGGGACAAAATATCACAAGCTGTGTGCTTGATAAACAGAACACTTTCTCAGAGTTCTGGGAGCTGGAAGTGGAAGGCTAGGGTACCAGGGGCGACAATGTCTTCTGAGGGTCTGCTCTCTGCTGCATAGGTGACATCTTCTCATGCCCAGATTTCTGGGCCTCTTGTGTAATGGTGCTGAGCTGGGCTTTTTTTTTTTTTTGTAAGTTTTTAAAAAAGGATTGAATGGGCATCGTATTGAGAAAAGCCACAAATATCACATTTAAAGGATGAGATCCTCCGTTTCAACGTATTGGTTTCACAGCCTAGGATATAAGGCTGAGAGCTAAGCACAGGGCCCCTTAAGTTAGTACCAGTTCTAGGATCTCGTCGGCAGGCAAATTTGTTCTTTCTCTTGTCTGTCTCTAGAGTTTTTTTTTTTTTTTATTTTAAAGAGGATAATTAAAAAAAGAACAATAACGAAATACCAACAATGGACAAAAACAATAAAAATAATACAGGGTTTCAGAACAAAATGATAGGAATTAACAGTGGCTGCTATATTACATATTGTTACCTTCAAGGAAGTTGCTCAGATTACCAGATGTAAGAATGCAAGATTGATCAAACCATTAAAGAGAATAAAAAATAAAAACAAATGAAAGAAGCATTAGAAACGATATAGAGTTTCACTAGACAAGGTGCTAGGAATTCACCAATGGTTGATATTGCATATTGTTGTCTTCAAATTAGTTGTACAGATTACCAGATATAAACATGAAAAATTGGTCAGGAAGAAAAAAAATTAGGCATTAACTGTTCCTTTCAATAAGCCATTAGAACTTCAGCAGTACAGTTATCCCAGCTATCCTTCTATATACATACATATATATATATATTTTCCCTTCTTT